ACACAGTGATAAGCGTTTGTTACACGGGCGAAACCGGGCGGGACGACTAGTGTATTATATTATATGCGTGCGTGTCGGCTATGAGTGTAACCGATGCGAATGGATCGTCCGGTAAAATCGACTCGGATCCGTAAACCTTGTTCCCCGGCACCAAAGACATTATAATACTACAGCGCCGACTAGTGCGTGTGCGTTATAAATTATTCGGCGTCGGGAAAGTTCCGTTTAAAAAGGAATGCGTTCCCGTTCCTCGTCGTTCCTTTAAAAAAAAAAAAAAAAAAGAACTACTCGCGGGAAACCGGGGAAGGCAGGATAACTAAAATTCGAAACTATTCCTACTTCTTAGCATCTACATGTTTAAAATCCTAATAAATTAAATATCGATTTTCTAGTTCCTACGCTGAAAAATGAAAACCCGTGTAATCACTTGTAAACGTGACGTTTGTCATTAACAAATGGATATGTTGTGTGTTACCGTCGTTTTAAACCATTATCACCGAGACACCGTGTTTGTATATCGCGGTTAACTAAACGGGTGACTGACGAACCGATACCGACGGTAAACAATTCCAAACCAATATTCTAAACATTTTTTGGTTTTTTTTTTTTTTTTTTGTTTCCAAACAGAAGGGACAGAAATTCGCGTTCCACGTTCCGCCTGAGTACGGGAACTCTTTCCCGTTCCTCGTTCCTATGTTTGAAAACGCTGAATTACTAATGCGCATCACAACAAATATCTGTCATGTCGAAAACGAACGGCGAAAAAATATCCTCGTCGTACCGAATCGCCGAAACCCGCTTCGGTGTTCGAATAGGAGGAATTACAGGGGGAAAAAAAAAAACCAGAAAAAACCAGAAAAACAAAATCATTGTGGTGTTATTCGCATCCGCCATTTTAGTTTTTATTCAGATCACAATAATGATGATAACAACAATAATATATTCGAATATAATATACGCGTTTTACAATTCATCGCGGTTTTTTTTTTTTTTTTTTTTTTTTTTTTTTTTCTTCTTTCTTGTACTGCTCGCAGAAGCGTATAGAGTGTAAAAATTCAACGGCAGTGACATGGATTAATTTCTACACGATATATATATATATATATACACGTGCAGTAGTGCTGCGCGGCAGTGGCAATTTAGTTTTTTTCTCTCATGTAAAATAACGTTTTTTTTTTTTTTTTCTATCTATCCATTTATTATTATTATTATTACTAATTTTCTCTTATATTTTTTTTTTTTTTCCGTTCGTTTCGTTTTTCCACACTCGAATACCTATGCGCATATATATATATATATACATATATATGTGTATGTGTATTCCGTTTGGTTTTTTTTTCGTTCTTCCTCCCGAAATGTGTTTCGCTGGGATGCGCATTATTTTGTACACTGCACGAATGAGACAAGACGGGAGGCGATGCGGCGTTCGCGTGCACCACTTCCATTCCGGTATATTTTTCCGTTTGGAAATTATTTCCACTCGATATTATAACGAGCAACACAATATATTATTATATTGTTCGTTGCCGGGCGTAAAACGATGACGGGTTTTTTTTCCCTATTTTTTTTTTTTTTCTCATCGTTATTATTACTACATAGTTGGACGGGTACGAGCAGGCGGGTATAGGTAATACACGATGTGCCTACAACTTATATATACAATCGCCGTCGTCGTCGTCATCGCGCATATACACACGGAAATGGAATTTTATTATTATTATTATTATTTTATTTTTTTTTTTATTTTTTTTTCCCCCATTTAAATCGAAAACAATAAAATATATAACGTGTCACGGTTTTTTATACATAATAATGTATATTATATTAATATGTATATATACACATATATTAATATGCATGATTGGATTTTTTTTTTCCAGCCGGATTCACGGTGTTTACCTTTGACCGTATATTCGGGTTAAAAAATAATAAAAAAAAAAAATACATACATACACGCGTATGTGTGTGTGTGTGTGTGTGTGCGAGTGTATGACGATTTCAATATTATTCGTATTCATATTATTATTATTATCCTACGCGGTACCGTCGACAGTATATTTTTTAGATTCTGAGTGTGGCCATGAACAGGTACACGCAATTGATTTTACGAAGATGTTTATTTATTATTGTTTTTTTTTTTTTTTTTTTTTTTTTTTTTTTGCGTGAACATTTTTTTCTACCAAAAGGCCTACTCCGGCGTACGCGATGTGAACCCTTTTGTGAATGGAAATTTTCTCGGGGTGGTACTTTAGGGAGGTAGTTTTTCTCCGGAGTTCGTCGAATGCAAAAAACCGAAAAAAAAAAAACGTAGGCAAAACGGGAAAATACGATAACTGCGATATTAATCAAACGGTGGTATCGAAAATATTTTATGCGCGCTTGATTATTATTTTACCACGATGTACGACATTGTTATACACGTGCCGTCGACAAAACCCAATTCCGCTCAGAGTGGTTTTTTCCGCGAGCACCGACTTGATCGTTGCTTATGGGGATTGACATTGAACGCCCTACAACGGTGGTCTCGCCCGTCTCCATTGTCCCGGGCGGCCTTTCTGGTTTTCGTACACTGTTCCTTTTCTACGGGAATTCGAACAATATCTATAACACCAAAACGGGATAGGTTACTACCAGTGCGGTAATATTAAGGAATTTAAATAACGGAACGGGGGGCACGAGTCGCGATATTACCGCGGCCGAAATAATTATTTGTATCGTAACGTTTCTATCGTTTTACATCGGATCGCGTTGGCAATATTTTCGCGTGTTTTGTTCCATTGCGTTTTGTTCATTTATTTTTCGCGCCCACATCGTTGACCAGTAACTGCTCAGTAACTTTCAGTTTGTATTCTGCACGTGTTGCAGGGTAACATGAAACAGCACATGTTAACGCATAAAAGCCGAGACATGGGCGCCGGAGGATCCGGCAGCGGCGGTGGTGGAAGCGGCGGCGGTGGCAGCGGCGGCGGAGGAGGAGGCGGAGGAGGCGGCGGCGGCGGCGGCAGCGGCGGAGGCGGACGCGGCGGAAACGACGGCGGCGCCGGCGGTGGAGGCGGGGGCAGTTCGTCCAACAACATGTATGACGCAAACAATTCGACGAGCTGCGGACACGACGATACGGCCAGCAACGCGAGTTCGGAGAGCCGGGACGCGTCCCACCATCATCATAATCAGCAGCAGCAGCAGCACCACCAACACCACATGCACCACCATCAGCAGCAAATGTTGATGCTGAGCGCGGCCGCGGCCGCGGCCGCCGCGGCGTCGTCGTCGTCGTCGTCGTCGTCGTCGGCGACAGCGGTCGGACCCGCGGGCGGCGGTGCAGTGGCCAAACCCTTGCCGCAACAGCAATTGCCGGTGCTGAACTGTGCCGGGGTCGCGGTAACCGGCGCCATTACGGCGGTTTCGGCGAACGCTTCCACTTGCACCGCCGGTACCGCGGTCCAGTCGTCCTCCGACTTGTCCGCGCCGCCGCCGCCGCCGCCGCCGGCACCACCGGCACCGGTACCGGCACCGCCGCCGTCGTCGTCGACGTCTTCGCCGTCGTCGGCGTCGTCCGCAAAGTCCGCGGTCCCTTCGTCCCACGTTCCTCTGTCCGTGCCCGCCGTCGGTCAGCTGTACAACTCCGGTTCCAGGAAGCCGGCCTCCGCGCCCGCCGCGGCCGCCTCCGACGGCCCGACGCCGTCATCGTCATCGTCACCGAAACGCCCTCTGGCCGATCCCGACGCCGGACTGCCCGCGCCGAAAAGACACTCGAGTGAGTAATACGTTTGAACACATTTTATCTGCACAGCAAAATTCTTTCCGCGGTACTAGGACGGCCTACAATGCCCACCTGTTTATACGCTTTATCTATTATCGTTTTGCCCTAACCGGTGTGTGTGTGTTGTCTTTTGTTGTTCGACTCGAATAGGTTCGCCCAAACACTTGTGCACGGTGTGCCACAAGAATTTCTCGTCGTCCTCCGCACTGCAAATCCACATGAGGACGCACACGGGCGACAAACCATTTCGGTGCACGGTGTGCCTGAAAGCGTTCACGACGAAAGGAAATCTCAAGGTGAGTGACCCGGCGACTAGTTACCGCGGACACCTGCAATGTACGTATAACATTACACAATGTATTTAACCGGCCGTTTTTTCGCGCTTCGCCGTACAGGTACACATGGGCACGCACATGTGGACGAACGGGACGTCCCGGAGGGGACGGCGAATGTCGTTGGAAATACCCCCGTTGTCCATCGCCAACAGCGTGAAGGATTCGGCGGACTTTCTGCAGCGCAGACCGGAGATCTATTACCATCCGTTTTTGCCCAGTCCGTTTCTGAACGGCATACACCAGCAGAAGGTAAGGAGCGCATTTTGGATAATCCTGGGTCGGGCCCATGCCACCACTGCGTCCGACATCAAATAACAACCGTGTCGTTATCCGTTTTACAGATCAACGAGATATCGGTCATCCAGAACGTGAACAGCAACGTGAACAACCGGATCCTGGGCGGGTTCGGCAACTTTGGCGGCGCGTCGTTCCCGGACATGATGAAACAGGAACCGGGGATCGCGGCCGACAAGCAAATGTCGCCGCCGTCGCATCACATCAGAACGTCGCCGCTGTGGGACCTGCACTACGACCGGCAGCCGGCCGCCAACGTCAAATCGGCCGCCGACGAACATCAACTCAACAATTGCGCCCCCCAATCGCCGCAGTCCGCGTCCATAACGCACGCCAATCACATCGCTCAGAACCGCACCGAAGGTCTGGCGACATAACACTCGCTCGAGTGTGGTATGCGTTTTAACCGACGATAAAAACTCGAATCGTACTGTACATATTACAATAACATTATGGTTATTGTTATTATTATTATTTTTTTTTTTTTTTGATTACTATTATCATTAATACTATTATTATTATTATTATCATTATCATTATTATTATTATTATTATTATTATTATTATTATTATTATTATTATCATTATTATTTTACCTACTACTACTACTACTACTACTACTACTACTACTATTGTAGATACCACTTGTTGACGATGACCGGGCGTCGCGTTACTCGTCTCGACGACTCGATTTAAACCGTAATTTGATACCTATTGTTTTTGATTTTGTTTTTTATTTTTGTTTTGCGTACGCAAAACCAACGTTCGCATATATACACACACACACACACATATATATACATATATTTATTTATAATAATAACTGTATTCGATATTTCCGCACGTTTATCTCGTGCAATATTTATACAATTGTCGTTTCACGACATGTTTCGACACACTCGATATTGACATTCGGTACTTTTCGTTATCCACGCGTGTGTCACTCCCGGGGGCGGGACGCTCCGTTGACATTTGCGCGTGCGCACGTCCCGGCGTGCGATTCGTATCCAACGGGCGATTGTTGAAATCATATTCGTTTTATCGACTCCCAGTCAGTGAAGAGAAAAAAAAAAAAAAAACAAAAAAAAACTGTATAGGAACGCGTTTACGGTACACCGTTTAAAATACCACTATCCGTTAATTTCGAATGTTTAGATTGAAAAACAAAAAGAACGTTTCATTATTGTTTTTTTTTTTTTTTTCTTTTTATCTTTTATTTATTTATTACTATTATTATTTTTATTATTATTAGTACCTATTAGTGTCCTATATTATGTTTTAGATACCTAACTCGTGTTGTGATCGTAATAATATACTATTTATTTTGTTTTATCTCTCCAACACCCCCATTTTCGGGACGGTTAATGAACACAATTACACTTGTGAAACCCGTCGTGTGTTTACGTTAGTTTAAACGATTATTATAATTTTTTTTTTTTTTTTTTTTTTTTTTATTATGCCTACAGTTTTAGAACGTTATTTTTTTTTCTGAATTATTATACAATTGAATAGGTATGATTGAACTCACTATTGTAGTGTACATAGTTTGTAGAACGACGATTATTTGACTTGTATTAATTTATGTATTTTTTTTTTTTTTTCTAATATTAGCGTTGTGTGTTATTATACTATTATACCCTTAAATTGGCAAACATCAAATGAAAAATTTAACAAAATAATCTATGAAAAATACCGATAGCTTCGAACACCCCGTATCTAATAACCAGAGAAAAATAAAAAACTATTTTTAATTTGTATTTTAAAAGTGGCATTGTTAAAAAAAAATATAATATCACACATCCATTTTATTTCCGCCGTTTAATTAGAAAGAAGTGCCCAATGAGTATATTATTTTTCCGATTGTGAGAAAATCTTTGAAACAATATTTTCTTTCTTTATTCAGAACAAAGTTTATCAACATTCGGTTGCTTACAGTACTTATAATTTTTTTTTTTTATTATTAAACAATGTAACAATTAAAAACTACTGTTTTACTGTCTGTATTATAAGAATTTCCATTTGAAAACATTTACCGTTAAAAATTGATACAACTTATAATATTATAATGCCAAGTTAAGGGTTAGTATCTATTATTATTTATGTTTCAAAAACTATCGTTGTATCATTGATCAATGTATCATGCATATCTTTGGGTATCTATACCAAATACCAAATCGTGGTGCACGTTTTTTTTTTTTTCGCTAGTTTTTAAGTATTTTTCTATTTTTTCTTTTTGATTTTCAGAATTATTAATAACGATTATGAGTATAACGTTGTCATTGTTTGGGCGACATCAAATTTAAAAGATGAAAACAATAAAATATTGTCATTATAAATATTATTACTGTAATACCACGTGTGAGTTGTTTTATATTGGCTTGTAATGAGTATATTGTCACTCATATAGGTACAATTACGTTGTAAGCTCATACCTATAATTAATAATTTGGAAAAAAGAACGCCCCAAACAAGTTAAATTCCTACATTTTAATCCTATAAGATAATAATATGTAATTACATTAAAAAAAAAAAAAAAAAAAAAATATACTTTTTTTTTTTTTTTTGTTTTT